CTTTCCCCACTAGGGGCTCTGGTTCCAATCTGGCCCCAAAAGTGGGGGGCTGGCTGGCCGGGGGGGGGGGGAGGGGGCTGGGGAATGGGATACCTGCCTGAAAGTTCTTCCTTGCACCCCCACCTCTGCTGGCTCAGTCCATGGGGAGGAGAGGCCTCACCCTGCCCTGACTCCAGCCTGTGTGGCCACCCCCATGTCAGGGTGTTTGTCAGCCCCCTGTACAGCATCAGCTTGTGACCAAGTGCTCCTGTGGCAGCCCTCACTGGAAATGCCAAGGTCAGGGCCGGCTGCAAAAAGAAGAGCAGATTCTCCCAAAACTGGTGGTTCACACTGAAGTTAGACTCACCAACCAGTCGCAAACTGCTCCTGATTCCCCCCACCCCCACGCTGGTTATCTAGAAGCTAAAAAAGAAATCACCCAGCCGCCTCTACTGCATTCCAGTTCTCTGGCTCCCAATCAGCACCTAGGTCCAGGATAGTGAGAAGTCATTTAAAACCTCTGCTCACTATACAAAATGTTCTTCTGACCCCAAAGGGTCAGCCATGTCACCAGGCCAATATTAGTTTGGATCTTACCCAAAATACCACGCTGCCAGCCAGTCCTTTAGTGTCTGAAAGGAAAGGTTTGTTATAAGGAAAAAAGGAAGAACAAGAAGAGTGTTGTTAAATGGCTAAAACAATCACATACAAACAGAGACTTCAAAGTCCATATATCAGGTTCTGAGCAGTATTGGTGAGTTTGCTGGCTTGAAAATCCTTCTGGAACAAATCCACAGCTTGAATGGGTCATACAGTCCTTTGTTCAGAGCTTCGTTTGTAGAAAAGTTACTCCAGAGGTAAGAAGCAGGAATGGAGACAACATGGAGACGATGCAGCTGCCCTTTATGGTCCTTTCTCATGTGGTTTACTTTGTCCCAAACACAAGCTGCACAGCACATGGCATGGAAGAATCAGCTTTAGAGTTCTCTGTCCACCAGCCTGCCCCTATATGCCTTGCTGGTTTATAAGCTGTATCTCCTTTCAATGGGCTCACTGTCGGGCTGATGACCCGTGATTAGGGTTACCATTTTTTAAAATAAGAAAAAGAGGACACTCCAAGAGGCCGCACCCCAAGTCTGCCTTATTCCCCGCCCCACCCCAACTCCGCCCCCTCCCTGAACGCTCCTCCCCCTGCTCCTCCTCCTCCCCTGCTTCCCGCGAATCAAATGTTCGCGGGAAGCCTGAAACAGAGGCAGGCAGCAGGTAAGCTGGGGCGGGGGGGGCGCGAGGAGGTGCTAGCCCCAGTTCCAGCCGAGCACGCCAGCCCCGGC